AATTTGGGACTACTGCTGAGAATATTGAGACAAAGCAGCCCATTTTTCCCTCTAGAGCTGAATGAAGAGACAGCTAACCATGGAGCTCTGGGCAGACAGGACCATTAGGGTATGCTGGCCATTAATGCAGGAAGTACAGCAGGATCTGAAGAGATAGCAGTGGCCATGTCACCTACTTGGCTACGACTGATTACCCCCTACGTCTTACAGCACTTTCTTCAGTTGACTTTCAGAATCCCACTCCTAGTTCGCTTGCTTCTTCCCTAAGTGTTTCTTCTCTAAGATTTCTATATGTTGGATTGACACAGTGCTTAGTCCTCAGACGTCTTCGCTGGGTATATGTCATTTCCGTATGACCACATTCGTGGCTTTAGGTACTATTGACTTCCTGATGATTTCAAAATGTTTATTTCTCAGCCTGAATTGTTTTCCATCTAGGTATCTAATAGACATACAAAACCCATCATATTCAGCATCAGATTCATGGTAACTCTTTTTTTCTACCCCACCAAAACCTGCTTTTTCTCACATTTCTCATCACAGGAAGCGCTATAGCAATTCAACAATTGTTCAAGACAAAAGAGTCTTTGTCTAGCTTGGGATTTTCAGTACCACCTACATGTACAATGATTCACACCCAAAGAACTCATGTATTTTTAGGCAGTTGTGCTTGTACGTAGTTTATAGTTGATTACAGCAACACAGTCCATAGTAGGAAAGGTCCCATCAGGTAGTTTCTTATCAAGAAAGAACACACAATGCACGCTACTTATCAGCTGTAAAAAACAGCAACACTGTGCTGTGTTTCTGCGCAAGTATGCCCAATTGAGACACAGTCTATGGTTTTCAGCCAGTGCTGTCCATTTTGCTGTAATGACCAGCCATGTGTACAAAAATTCTAGACTTCCACAAATTCAGAGCAGCATATGAACTAAGTGGCCTTCTAAATGGGAATGTTTTAATTTTGGAGTTCCCACACACCAGCCAAGAGCAAAGATCAGGTTCAGGACCATTGTGTCCACTCTTTTCTGAATGTCCTCAATTCCAGTATTTCTCTATTTGGCATCTCACCTATCAATATGTTCTTACAATTCTACTATCAAAGTATACCCTAAATATTAGCACTTCTCATCACCTTACCATCAAATTCAAAGACATTCATTCTTGCCAGGGTTACTGGTCTACCTGCTTACAGTATTTCTTTCATTACAAAATGTAATTCAGCAAATAGCTTCCGTGTGAGCTCTTAAAGACGTGCATCTCCTTGTGTCAGTTCCATGCATAACATCTTCCAGTGTCTCCACTATACTCAGAAGGAAACCCAAAGTCGTACAATGAGGTAACCCTGAACTAATATCCCAGCGCTCTCCTCTAGCTCATACTTTACAGCCACAGGGCCTCTGGACAGTTTTGTTAGCACCTTTGCACTTTCTGTTCTCTCCTCTTGGGATACTTTTTCCTATTCCCTCATTTTGAACACACTTTCCCCAAAGTGGCTTCACATTCCCCTGCATTGCCTCCCTTACTGTCCTTCCTAAACATGTCAATAACAGTTCACATAATGTCACTCTTGGCCCTAAGATGTTTTTCTTCCTTTGCACCTATTACTACTTGACATATATATGCATTTTCTGAATCATTCCTCACCTTGACTTCTACGTAAGCGTCACGAAAGCAAAACTTTTGTTAACTGCTATACTTCAAATGCTTAAAGCAGCATCCAACCAATTAGAAGTTCTTATTCCATATTTTTCAAATAAATGAACAAATGCATGAATCATTTGAACTTCAAAATCAAAACGCTAAAACATAATTGCTGTATATATTTGGTCATGTGAAGTAATAAATTTTCATTCATGTTGAAGGCATGAGTTGAGGTTTCAATGACTGATAATCAAAAGACTTGTCACTGATGTACTCCAAAAGCAATTTTCTTCATAAATATCGAGTTCCAGTACTACATGAATTCATTGTTTAGAATAAAATGTGTTTTTAAAGTTTACTCAAAAACAGAAAATGGTCTTACCAAGCCAAACTTCCACGTAATGTTTCCAACTTCCAGAGTAGAAGTTTCAAGAAAGCAAGGATTTTGTGTCAATTAGTCATGGTGAATTTCCAGTGTTTTTCCTGGAGCACTTGGAATTGCAAGCTGTATTTGTTAATTTGTTAATTTTAAGCATGCTCTGTGTCTAAAATCAAATACCAGATTTGAATCTTGCCTCTTCCTGTCCCTAGACCTTGAGAGTAAATAACATTAACTTTTTCAGCTTTAAAATTTTTATTTGAAAAATAGAAACAATACCTTCTTAAATGACTTGTAAAATGGTTGTTAACAAATGTATTTAATGTCTTTAAAACAGTGTCCAATTTAGAGGAAACATTGAATAAACATTAGTAAACTCTTGCTTGTATGGCAGGAGGAATAACTTTTCCTTTTTATTTGTCATCAATGCTACATGTTTCTGAAGATCCACCTGTAATACTAATGCTATCCCTGCAAATGGTTTGTAGATCCTGGAACCAAGTAGTGTAGCTAATGATTTCATTAATAAATGCATTCTGTGTGACTTGACTGATTAATAGTAATAAAGAGTTAAAGTAAAATCTCAGGATTAGGACTGTGTGAATACTGTTAGCATGAGAATAAAAGGACTTTGAATCCTTTTATTCTCAGTGATTATATGCCTTCTGTCTTTTCTCCAAGATTTCTCCAAGTCCAAGGATGGTATGATTAGAAGAAATTGTGTAAGAAATCTGTCTAATGTCTCGTACAAATTTTATGTTATAAAACAGACTGCGTTAGCCACCTGCAGGTGTTGAAATCTCAGTTGTCTAAGATGTGCAGTGAATGCATGTGACATGCCTCTGAACAGAGACTACAGCTCAGAACTGCAATTGATCAAGGAGAATATTTATTGCACAAAGTGCTGAGCTTTCTACAATAAATGTACTCCTGAAAGGCTGTATGTAAATCAAATGACAGCAAATTGAATGATATAAAAGCCATTAAGGAGGCTTATCACTTAAATTGATTCCCTTGTGACTTTTCAAGTCTTTGTAATGCAAAGTATTTATCTTTGGGTCTAAAAATCAATTTTTGCATATTCACTTTTTTAAATTGAGTTTCATTTTCATCTGGACTAGAGTAAAAAGAAGTAACTGATCCAAGCCTGTGGGGCCTATTGTATTGGGCCTCCTAACTTTTATGCCAAGAAATGCATACAGTGTGTTGAGTGATTGATTTTCTGAGGTTCATGACTGCAACATGCTAGAGAGTCCAATGGCCTGGATCACCTACTCAGGAGTGGACTTAAACAGTTATGCTCATTTATTTCAGTGCTGAATACAAATATTTTCTATTTGAAAAGATTGGGAAGCTCTAAACCACTTCTGGTAGCCTTACTTTTTCTTAAATGCTTTCCCAGGTCTCCTTTATTATCTTTGGTTTCATGCTCTATTCTGTTCCTTAAAACACTTATCAAAATTTGCAACATACAAGTATCAGCTATATGCTTCCTTGTTTAGCACCTATCCCCTCACTACACAATAAGCATTGAGAATGGTATCTGCCTGCTACTGTTGACTCATTGCCTAGCATATTGCCTGGCACCTCACAAGTACCTGAGAAAAAGTGAGTGAGAAAATTAGTAAGAGCGTGGAAGTCAGCTAGTTCTCATTTATATCGAGTCCTTTGCAAATAGCCCTAACTGACCTGCTCTTGAGCTACCCCTCCAACCTCCTTTTGCAACTCTACAATTTCTTTCAGCACCACTAATTTCTTACTGTCTTTAAGCACTTCAGTCTTCTATGTATTTGCTGCTGCCTCTAACTGGAGTGATCTTCCCCACATCAGTATGGTTTCATCTTTCCATCATTTAGGTCTATAAACAAATACACTTCTCTAGAGACACCTTCAGGGATTCCCTATCTAAAATGGCACCTTTCAACATACCACATAGGCTTTTATTTGTCCCCATAGCTCTCATCACTAAATTGTGTATATTGATTTAGGTTCTTAAATGTAGCATCTAAGAAGTCAGGAACTTTGCCTGTCTTACTTTCTTACTTTTCTCTCATTGCTGAGACAAAATACTCAACACCCGAAATTAAAGGAGAAAGGTTTATTTAGTTCACAGTTTGGAGAGGTTTCAGTCCGTAATCAGCTGGCTTAAAGGCAGGGTGGATGGCATCAGGGCAATAGTTCACGCTGATATAAGACAGCAAAAGCAACAAGAAAAAAAAAAGAAGATTTGTAGCCTCTTTTCCTCCTTTATATTGTAAGCAGGCTACCTGTCTTAGGGTGGTGCGACCCTCACACCATCTCCCTGCCCTGTTACCCCAGCTCACAATATTTAAAAAGTGAGGATCTTAGCCCCCTGCTCAATCACTTAAACTTCTGAACTTCTCAGGTTGACACTATGAATCAACCATGACAACATCCTGAAACATAAGCAGTTGTAGAGCATGTCCTCTACACCCTAGGGTATGGAACTGCTCAAACTGACACAATTTATCAACCAGTAGCTTACTATAATACATGTATTTAAATGGCATTAGCCTATAATATCACAAGATTTGTTTTCAGTGACCTAAAACATAGGAGAAAATTGTCATATGCTCATCATCTATTGCCTAAAATGGAAAACACACTTGGTTAATTTCACACTATCTCACTTTGCCTTCCAATGTAGTGCCAATATCTTTCTTATAATAGGGGGAAAATATTCTAAGGCTACATTTTTTATGTTTTTGAAGATTTAATGTATTTTATTTGAGATACCATTTTAAATGCTATATTTGATATAAACCAAGTATAATAGAACTTTTTAATGTGCTCTGAATATTTTCCTAATATTTCAAATTATAAAAACAAATATACTAAAAAATAAATATCAGAAAGTTTGGGAGTTTTTTTGCTGATGAAGACAACTACTATTCATAATCAAGACATTTTCATGTAAAACCTACTTATAACAATGTCTTGTCTCTCTGCTTCTTAGGTATTTGACTATGATTTTGGACTGCAGGATGATTTCATGGGCTCAGCCTTTCTGGATCTCACACAGTTGGACTTAAACAGGTGACTTTCAATTGCAGCTGGACCTGTGAGGTAGCCAGCATCAGCCCTCTGGCTTCTACAGTTGCTGTCATGTCATTTACAGTTGCGACCCTTCAGGCTAGTCATCCTTCCCCGAGTGTGTCTTTCTCATCTATCTGATGAGAATAATAGCATCACTCCCAACTCCATCACTCAATAAAAGCTGTACAACAGAAAAATTCTCTGACACTGATTCTGTATCCCAGAGCTGTGCCAAGCACTAGGCATCTAGAGATAAGAGCCACATTGTTCAACCTCCCAGGGCTCAGATGGTTGCTATAGGACATATTAATCATACTAATCATAATGATTAATTTAAGAATTATGCTGCTACACGAGCAATAAAGCACAAAAATCAGCAACTTGCTTCATAAAACATCAACCCTGTTATAAAACCTGATTTTACATTGTTACTTAGCATCACCAGCCGGCCATCATTAGATTACCAAGGAGTGCATGTGAGATCAAAGCACATGGAATGTATTTACTCATATCACTTAAGTTGCTTGACTTTTTGCAAAGCTTATATTGTTATTACTAGCACAAATCATTCATTGCACTCAATGAACATATACTTTTCAAAATTTATCTCAGCATAGGAATTAAGAAGTGATCATACTACACAAGGAAAAAGTGGTTTAAAAAAGTAAAGCAGTGATGAATTGGGTGGTAAAGAAAGCTTCTATGATGGTTCTCAGGAGAAGGAATTCCTGTTTGGAATGATTGTACCAAATCATATGATACGGAGAGTGTAAGACAGGAAAACAGACTTAAGGGCCAAGACACTACCTTCTTTTTCCACAAATGTAAATACATAGAGAAATGTCCATAGAAGAACCCCCTTGTGTGTTATAAGTTGGCGTAGAAGGACAACTTATTGGACTTCCAGTGTTTGCCTTTACTGAACTTAGGAACAGCCTTTTCTGTACTTTCTACACATCCTCCAGAAAGCCCAGCATTGGCTTGACCCTTGGTCAGAGCTTAGTTAACTAATGACAATCCACTTTAGCAGGGAGTATCCTGAAGAATGGTGGATGTGTCTGTTGCCATAAACACTGAGCTCAAACTAGAATGCATTGTGCTTTTCTTTTATGAAGGCTGCAATTACTTTCTCTGTAGATCTCTGCATGAGGACATGCAAATTACTAGGCTTAATCCCAAAGCATAAACTTCTCTTGTTTTCTATTAAAGATAAATCATGGTGAGAAATAATTTTAAATGGAAAATAAAAGATCATTAAAAACATTAATAAAGATTAGAAGCATGTGGTATACATTTATCATATTGCATATTTTATGTATTTATCATTAGAGTCCTTCCCCTTAAAACCACATACACACCACATTACTACTTTTTAAAGTCACATTTTTGTATATGACATTTTATTCTAGGTATAAATCAGCAGTCTCGGGGTGTAAAAAATGGATAATAATAGTTTCCATATAAATATTTATGCTATATATAAAACACTAAAATATCTGTTTGAAAGAAAATAATAAGCACTAGTAAACAGCTGTAATTTTCTTAAACCTTTAACACATAACTATTATAAATTATTCCTATTAATTTGTGTATGTGCTCATTACAAAAAAAACCGAATCAAGTGTAGTTGTAACCCTACATGGTGCGTACATATATATTGTCTAAAATTCATTTCTTAAAATAAAAGGAACAAGTCATTACTACCAAATGGTTACTCATAACACATGTACACTATCAATTGAATGTGTATTTTCATTTGTTTTCCAAAAGTTACTGTGCAGCATTGAGTTATTCATAATAACTTCCTCAGAAACTCTTACATAATTCCAAAGGCTGTACTACCCAGCTTTAATTACTGTCTCATCTTTCAGTCCTAAAAGTTAAGTACAGTTGAACAGCCAGAAACATTTGACTTTATGTATCAGAGTCTTTTAATAATTATATATAGTTTTAAAATTGTCTATGAAGTAGAGAAATTTATATTTTATATTTTCTCCTTTTCCCATGGACTTGTTTACAACTACTGTTGCTTAAAAAAAACAAAACAAAACAAAACAAAAAAACCTTTCAGAAAACTAAAAGGATGGTACTGCTCAATGAATGACCCTTGTCAAGTTACTGGGCTCAAATGTATATAAAACAGCTGGTATGCATCTCTGTGGGTTTAGAAATCATAGAAAAAAGACTTGTTTCCCAATCATGTTGTAGCTTCTGGCCTTTTTCAGTAACTTTCTAGAACCCCAGAAAGGATAGCAATTTCTCCAGTGAATTCAAGTTTGTTTAACTGAGTTAGTTTATTGAGTACTTAAAACGTTGGTGATATTTTGATAGCAACAAAATTATACTAGGAGAATAAAGGTGAACAAAAATTGCTTTGCTTCTTCTAACAGTAATTTTAATTAAGAGTATTTTTGGTTTATTTATTCAATGACTGCTGAAAATTGAAATATTTTTTATCGCAGGCCCACAGATGTGACCCTAACTCTGAAAGATCCCCATTATCCTGACCATGACCTTGGAATCATTTTGCTGTCGGTCATCCTTACCCCTAAAGAAGGAGAATCCAGGGATGTGGTAAGTTGCCCCACAGCCTTCTAGAAACTCTTTCTTGCTTTCACATTTTCAAGTAAGTGAGCCTTCTTTGGACCCAGAAGTCATAATAAAGAGAAGCTCCACATGAAATCTGACCTGTTCTCTGTTTCTGTGAGTATCCTGGGTATCGCTCCTCCATGCTTACTGTGTCTTTTCAACTCAAATTTCCTGTCCCATGCTCCAGATCAGAACCTCTTGTTGTAAACAAGGAATGCACTTGTGCTTTTTGTATTATGTTATTTCTCAACTTGAGAGATGTAATATTATAGGGAAATATTAATATTCATTCAGGGAATACATTTATTGGTGAATTGAATATTTGGAATTCTATACTGAGGTATCCAGAAACTATTGTTTTAACTGAATTGTCAGGTGGACCATAACAAAGAAAATGAGATCAAATCATAACAGAGTTTCTGCTTTCTGGTATTTGCTTACTGAATGATAAGTGAGTGTTTTTCGCCCTCTCGATGGGCTTCCATGTTGATATTCCCCATTTTTCAGCACAAGCTGCCTGTATTTCCTTGCACACCATGCTGCTATGAAAAGCTAACAGAGGATACAGAGGAGCCAATTACTACTGCGTTGTTGAAGTGACATGAAAAAATATCAGCTGTGACCTACATTAGTGTGCTTTTCAGTGTACTTCCTGCCACAGTTTACCAGAAATTATTTATTATACCCAGTGCACCTTCATGTAACGCATTTTTGTAGTAGACATAATTTTATGCAAGTTCATATACTCCAGCAATATACATATGGCTGTCTTAAAATAGCACAATTAAAGCTGCAAAGTATTGTCTGCTGAACAAGGAATTATTGACATTTCCTCCAAAATCATAGGTACAAATAGCAGAATTCAGCCTCAAATTTGAAAGAGTTTTTAGCTCACTGAAAAATTCACCCCATCAAGATTTCTTTCCATCCTTTTCAAAAATAAACAATGAGCCCCAAAATTCATATATAGTGTTTCTTAAGTATGAACTAAGCATCTGGAAAGAAATGTTACTTTGCCAAGTCTTGCCAAGTCTTACCAAATCCTACCCACTGTGAAAATATACCATGGTAAAATCAAATGTGTATTACATAGATGGAAGGTTAGATGAAGAAAGGTTTCTACAGAGAGTATTTAGAAATGGAAGCCCATCATTTTAGAATTCACCAATTCAGAAAATATTGGTTCACTCAGCACAAACCAGGAAGTAGATTCTAGCTAGCTAACCCATACATAGGAAGAAGTTATACATATCCATCTGTATCTTTTATTCATATAATCCTGGTATTCACCAAGAACCTACTGTAAGACAGTTTCTTCACTGAGTACTTGACACACAATAGAACTTGGGTCCAGCTGAAATGTCACAACTCAAATAATCACTGAAGAAAATGTAAGATGACAGTCACGTTAAGTGCCACGAGACATATATGTTGCTGAAGGAACAAACTTGGGAGATTTTGTTCTAGACAAGGGGATAGGGACTCTCTAAAGAGGTTAATATGAAGTGTGGATAGATGTTACTAAGACAAAAAGACAAGAAGTATCTCAAGCAGAGAGCACAACATATGCAAAGGCCTTGTGGCTTGAGAAATTATGTTTCATTTCAAAATGAAGGCTCTGGACCTCAAAGAAGGTGGACAGTCATGGTGCATGATGACACTATAATAAAAGGAGATGTCAGACTGCGGAGGGCCCTTTGGCCTGTTAAGATCTGTAGTCTTTTCGCAATGAGCAATGGGGAGTCATTGAAAAGTTTGCAAATAGGAAGTGACAATCATATTTGAAGATATGTCTACCTGCATTGTAAAAAGCAGGTTGAAGGAGTAAAGATGGATGCTTGGAGACCAATTAGGTGGCTATTGCAAAATTCAAGTGAAAGATGATGGTGGTTTGGATTAGAATTATCAGAGGTAGACATGGAAGGAAATTGGCAACATAGCATGGCAGTAGAATATTCCGGTATTTTATTAAGGGATAGTCCTTCATAAATAAAAGCAGCTAAGTGCCTGAGGTCCTGCATATTCCCACATCATCAGAACTTGCAATATTGCTGGAGATTGAAGTGACATAGCAGCTGTGACATTTATTGGACCGGTTTGATGATAGGTAGTCTGCTGACTCTTTGCATTAAAGGATCTTTATTAAATAGGATAGCATCAAATCAAGGACTTGAGGAATCAAGTTGGTAACCAGAGACCTCACAATGAAGCTACTGTGTTACTTTAAATTATGCAGAAATACATGTCAGCACTAGCAAAGTAGTGCTGACAACACAATATGATGTTAACAATCCTTGCAAAAACTCAATTCAATCTCTGTGCCCACTCAAACTTATATTTTAGATACAATATATATCTAATTAGAAGAAAATGATATAGCACTCAAAAACTGATTATCTGTGTGTTTTCAAACATGAATATGGAAGAAAATAGGTGGCTCATATGATAGTTACGTACCAAAAATCTGGTTTTATTTATCTTCTTCTTTTCCTCCTCTTCATCTCTCACCATATCTCTCCAGCCACATACATTTTCAACACCAAGATATTCTCCTAAAATTTTCATGCCATTTTTTTAAAATTTGAATTTCTGTGACTGCCCCAGATTTTCTGGGACAATTCCTTTACTACCAACTAATTTTTGTTGACTGTCTTCCTTTCTTACCATCCCTTTCAGGGGTTTGGGTAGTACTGGATTTGTTCCACGGTGAAAACTGGGAAATGGTATCTTTCCTCCAGCTTCTTGCTAATCCTCCCTGACTTCTTTTTTCTTCCTCAGAGAAGCCAGTTGCTTGCCAGGGCCCCACAGTGACCCTTGGCAGGGAACAGTCTCGAATCTAACCTCCATCACCCTGAGGAGGCAGAGAAAAGGGTGACCACTGTGGCTGTCATGGTTCATCGTGTATGCCAGAGCACAGGTTTGCCTATAGAGAAGCACGATAAAAGACCCACCCTAGGAAATTCTATGAGGATCCAAAATCTTAGCTATTAAGTACTCTAGATTCAAATTTGAGGTTCTAATTGTACATTTTACGTTAAGAAAACTGTCAACAAATACATGTAATTTGCTTCTTGTTTGTCTTCATTTGGCCTAAGTAGAAGTTCTATAGCTATATTTATTTTTTTGACACTGGGAATCAAACATAGGACTCCATGCTTGCCAGACAGGTGCTGTGCCACTGAACTATATCCCTGGCCCATGTGGCTATAATTTTAAATTCTCTAAATCTAGCTATTATGTGTATCAACAGAAGTTATTAGTTCTGCAAACTCTGACTATGAACTATAAGTAAGCATGTATTATTTTAAAAACTAAAAAAGAATACTACTCAAGGTAGGAGAACGTGTGAAATCTTGTCATTTGCTACAATATGGATGGAACTGAAAGACATTATGTGTTGAAAGTAAGCCAGGCACAAAAGACAAATACCACATGGCCTGACTCACATATAGAATTTAAAATGTAGGTTTCATAGAAGTTGCAAGTACAGAGGTGGCTGCCTGAAGGTAGGCAGTGGCCCAGGGAGAGAGCACAGGGAAAGAGTAGACATTAGATATTAGATTTCGGTCCCAAGTACCGGAGTGCTATTGCACAATAGGGGGACTGTAGGCAAGGAAAACATACTGCGTATTTCAAAAGGGGAGAAAGGATGTTCAATGCTTTACTGCCAAAAATGACAAATTTTTGAGGAAATAGATGCACTCACTCTGATTTGAACATCAAATAGTATGTAACACATAGCACCAGCTTGTCTCCCCATAAATATATACAATATTTATCTGTTAATTTTAAAAGAAAAGGAAAAACCCCCATTTCTGGTCTGTTAAACATTGCCCTAGGCTCGCAACTCCCTTCTCTTCTTCCAAATGCTCAGCGCCTTGAGGCCCCCTCTGTGACCTGATGGAAGCTCCTGGGGAGGGATTGTAAGGTTCTCTGACACCAGGCTTCGCTACCTCAGTAACGTCTGTCACAGCCACACAAACTCCCTCCCGTTCACCTTCTCTCAAATCTAAGTTGGCATCAGTGTCATTTGTCCTTCTTTCGGTATGTGTCTGTCCATCTCACCTCCACTCCCACATCCTGACATCTTGGGAGAAGGGCATATTTATGGTATTATAAACTGTGCAGAGATAGTTTATGGGTGCTCCATGGGCAACCCAACTTTATGGATACTCTGAGGATGAAGCTCTCAAAACCCAGTCTGATTTTCTGGATGTAGTACTTGTTGGGTTGTAAACAAATCTCTATGTGAATTTGAAGGGATGCTTTGAAGGACCAGGGGAAGACATTTTAAGGGTTTTTTTTATTACTTCAATATTCAAATCCCCATTAAATGATTTAACTTTCTAAATTCTTAAAATTAATATATTGATGATAATCTGCTTGAAATCATTATATTGTACTTTTCAAGGATTTTTAATGATGACAAATGATAAACACATGACTGTGTTTTCATTATTTTCTAAAATGCCTATTTTTAGCTGAAAATATTTCCCTGAGACACAGTTGAAAATTCTTGGTTAAGAATAATAAGAGACCAAATAAATCTTCAAATCTTCCTATGCCTGAAATACATAAAATACTTGTTCAATGAAAATGGTGTGCTGAACTTCTCTACAAATTATCCAGGAAAAAAATCTTATTTATTTAGAGAATTTCAACCTCAGAATGCATCAAACCAGAAATCAATTACTGAATGCTTTAATATGAGTGACATACAGAGTGGGAACACAAGATGATTTTCGCATTGACCCTCAGACTGCATGGTTACAGTAAGAGTTCTATTCTCTATTAGCTCAGAAGTAATTTAGTCTAGGCTTTTGCAACTGGAGACTGTAGTTCAAAAATTACATTTGTTTTTATGTCAGTGTTTTATGAAACTTTACTAAATACTTTATAAATACTAAAATGCAGAATGGGATAGATGAGTTTCAAGAACTTTTAACAGGTAAACTATCAGATAGAAATAGAAAATTAACATTAAGAAAATGCTATGAAAAATAAGAAGAGATGAGTTGGAAATAAAGAATATTTGGCACTACAAACTGAAGATCTCTCAGATATCGGGAGAGTTTTTATGCATTGTAAAATACTGACAATATATTCCATGAATAATATAGTTGAGACGATCTCTCTTTGTGTGGACTGCCACTTCTGGAAATCAGTAAAACTAAAGAATGAGTTGGAAAAGCTATCAGCCTACTGAATCTACTAAAGCCTTGAAAACATGCAGCATCTAATTACAGCAATTTCAGAAGTTTAATATGTGTAACAGAAAATGTATTTCATAGTTGTTATTAAAATTTCCACTGAGTTCATAATGAGTCTTTTGTAAAAATCCCAGATGCAAGCAGACATATACATTATTTAAGTCTTCAGCATTGTGTGTACAAGAAGCCAAAACATCACAAGGGGAATGCCGATTCATTGCATGGCACAACTGTCATTTCTATTTTGATTGCATGACCCAATTTAAACCTGGCTGTGTAGTCCATACTTGTGTGTCCTATATATGGTATTTGCGTCTGATGGTGTGTTTGAGTTCTTTCTGGCTCTTTTCTAGCAGAGTTCAGTCCACAGCTTTCTTCATTGGAGAATTTGTGAAATAAAAGTGAGTTAATTTGTGTTACACACTCTCTTAAGTAATCTACCACATGCAAATTGCTTGGCTAAGCCTAAACAGAAAAATTAAAGAAACATATGAATTGATCCTAATTCTATACAAAGCGTTTAAAATAGATAGATAGATAGATAGATAGATACATAGATACATAGATATATAGACAGATTAACTTTGGGTTTAATCTTTATATTTTTCAGAATTATTACACAGACAAAATTTGAAGAAACATCCATTTCCAAATTTTGAATATGTAATTATAGTATCTGTTCTGCAATTTTTATGTGTATTAGCAATAAAGTTGCCTAAAAAGTCACTACAACAAAAGAACAAAATAAAAAATGCATTGAAATTTGGAATATTTTAGAAACAGTCACTTCCACAGCTCTGTCATGGACCATATGTTACATTGTTTCTTTTTGTAGCTTCAAGAAAGGCTGAGCGCTAATGAAGAATTTAAATTATATATCATACTATTTGATATAATATTAGTTATGGATACTTTCAAAAATGAATTCATATGTTTCTCAGCTGAAGTTAAGATCATAGAGCAAAAATAAAATCTTACTTTTCTAGAATTTGCTTATCTTTAACATTCCTCAATCTTTCTTCTCTAACACATTACAGACAGCAAAAATAACCACATCAACTAGTTTGTCTGTTAGATTTATTTGCTTTTAAGTTTTCTGCAGTTTACAATCTTATTGAATCTACCTCAAGGAAATACCTAAACAGAAGAAAAGACTTAGGCATGGGATATGAAATGCATCACTTTATCTAGTAAATTTGACTAAAGAGGCAGACATTTAGTCATAAAGTCTGTGGCAATTTTGAGATCACTGGATTTTAGATAGCAAATCAGGAAAACAATCAATTGGCCTCCCCAAACTGTCAAATCATTCATATTTATACTTGCAGAATCACTGACTTTTTACTTGTCTCAGACTGTCAATCAGAAAAATAAACCATGTGGCCTGCTTTTAACTCTGAAATGCAAGAAAAATATCAGCCATATACTGTTTTACAGATAGAAGGTTAATTAAATGCAGTGTTTCTGAGTCAGGAATGTGGCTTTGACCAACAGGTTGTATCTTTGTAAGAGTGTTGTCTCAAAATTCCATCCTTCCTCGTGCTCTAACTGCTTTTTTCATAGCATGGCATTTTTTATAGGATGGGATTTTTTGTAAGATTCTTAGATGCCAGATAATGAGGATCCATGACTGTGAGTTAAGAGGTTTTACTTTTTGATTTAATTTTCCTCACTGATTTGACTCAAAATGTTGTCTTTAGGGATTATGCTTTTTCTACTGAAACTGCTTTCTAAGAAAGTTGAGCATTTATTATTGAACTCCTAACTGGACAGTTTTGTGAATACAGCACACCACTAAAGAATTCGGATTCCAGCTGCCTTTTGATAGTGGTGATAGTGGCAGCCTTGGTGATGATGATGGTGTCTCATCTGACATCAACAGCAACCACGTACTTTATGCCCACCAGCTGTCCATTTCCACAACCTAATGCTGAGATTTCTTGCTGCAAAATGAACTGGATCTTAGTAGCTGGAAAACATAAAATGTCTCAATAACAGTATTGAGACAATGCTTATAGTTTCTTGGTTCCATATTCTTACACTCTTCAGTGTTTTCATTAATATTTCACATGAAACATATGTAGAGAAAACATGCCCCTGTAAAACTACTATCTGCAGAAAAAAAGAATGTTATTGTTATCTTTGAATGTTTATGGTTTTCTTATTTCCTGATGTAGAACCTCCACAGCATCCTATTCTCTCAGTCCAAAACAAAGGTTGTTTTAGTCTTACATTAAAGTATTTTCCTTGTATTTTTGTAAACCATAAGTGAGAGGTTTCTCAAGTGGATCTTCTTCATATCAGTACACTTCCTTGTACAAATATGGCAAGCATTTCCATAAGCTATACTTTCTTCACTTCAAATATTCCCCAGTCAGGACTTCATCTGACTTGAAGGTTATGATAAAACTAAGACAGGGTAAAGAGATGAATCAGAGAGACTAAGAATTTAGTCTCTTGGTATGCACTCAGAATTTTTTTTAACAGTAAAGAGGAGACATTTAAAAACTTTTTTCAGCGTTAATAGTTTACCTGATTCAAGAGACCCATGATCTTAGGCATTCAGCTCCAGAACATCACTTAAAAAGTTTGCCCATAAAAACTCTTCCACAAAGAAAATAGCTTGAAGTGTATTTTTTAAATAAAGATTTAGCAGGAAGATACACCATCACAATGTGAACCACTTGACTCAGTTGAAACCATTTGTAGACCTCGATGGAAGAGATTATCTAGAAGTAGTGGTAATTCTAAGATGCCACCAACGCAACCGATTTTTAGTGTATTTGAATGGAAAATTATTATGTAAAGTCAAAAATCTTCTCAGTTCTCACCACCGGGATGAACAGTCGTGAATTAGGAGACTCAGTGTATATTTCCCATGAAATAATTAAGGTTCTTTCCATTCCATTTAAAAGATATTGTCTCATTTCTTTGTACAAAGAATCCAGCAAATGAACTCTCACTAGAAAGACTGTTTGAATGTTAAAGGTGCTTCTACAGCTATGTGTGTGTGAAAAACAATTCTTGTCCTGTGTCGTTGATGCTGAAATATGTTTGCTGTTTAAACAAATACGTGTTACATTTCCTCTAGAAAACAAGGGACTCCATCTTCTGTCCTAGAGTGAAAAGATAATGAAAATGCTTTATTTCATTTACAGACAATGCTAATGAGGAAGAGTTGGAAAAGATCAAGTAAGGTAATTCTTAGCATGTGATCTTTCAGCTTTTCTTGTCCAGAAGACTACTGAGCGCTTTCCCAAATCCTTCTCATACCTCTTCAAGCAACTTCAGTTTCACCACTATTCAGTTATTTTTTTCTCCATAAACTCTAAGCAAAGCATGCAATGCTTTCTAAATAAATAGAAATCACACTGATCAAGAGCATCAAAATCATCCTTTTGTTAATCGCTGGTCACTTCTTAGCATCATGCTCACCATCTGGTCTATTATGTGTACAACAGGGTCTAGAAAACCACTGTGCCACAGGAATGAAATGATCAGGCTCAGGCAGAGACTTCTCCAGACAGAAAAAAGACCCATAGAATGCACTGGTTTTGATCGCAGAAAACTGAATGTGAGGTTCTCTAAGCACCGATATCCCTCTCTTAGAACTCTGAGCATGCACTGAGAACCGTCTCCCTCAGTGTTTCTGCAGTTCCTGTTACCTAATAAGCCCTGGCTCTTCTTATGCCTTGTAAGACACATAAGATGGAAACGAAGCTTGTAATTTATTCAACCTGGCTATAGATATCAAGATGAAACCAAACTTTTAAGTGCATATGCCTGGAAATATCAAATGAATTTTATTTGTAAATTCATGTTTACTCAAAACCCTACTTAAAATGCCAATATTCCCTTTTAAAAGTGACTCATTTTTTTTTAGACCCTGGATCATGGCAATCTTTTTTTTTTTTCCCATTCTGGTTGAATCATGCTATTACCTAGATTTTTCTTTAACTCTGTCATTTGGAACTTAAATTAAGAAAATACATTAAAATGTTTTTATATTGTGATAATGTATTGGTATGTTTTTTAAAAAAATATTTTTGGCATGCAGTTCCTTTCTAATTCTTGCAGCATTAATGACTAAAAGATAAAGAAAATCAGGGCCCAAAGAACATCTATTCAGGAAAATTGCTGGGCATTTCTGAGTTCATATTCACTATGTTTTACTAAACAAAAAGTTTCAAGATTTTTTAAAAGTTTTACTTTTCATATGTGTATTACTCTTTTTGTTTGTAATCATATCTTACAATTAGTGCTATAAGTCTGTGTATTTTTAAATGCATGCCATTGACTTTCATCATTCTGTACCAATGTGATGATGTATTTGTATGGAAAGCAACAATCTATTAATAAAATAGTGATAACTGCTCTCCAGATAAACTTAACAAGTTATGTTAGAACAGAAAATGTTATGGCATTTAGTATTAAATTAGTGTGAATTATCTTTTTTATTATAGTATTAAATAAGAAAAATATTTTTAAAATACCTATAATTTAAATTTAATCTTAATAATAACCTAAGTAAAAATAAATCCACATAATTTCATTGAATCTGCAAAAAACGTTAAATGAATAATAAAAACCCATTTTCTACTAATAGTAACAATTCATTTACACATTGAGATTGGTGTATTTTCAAGCTTGCCACTGAAGATACAAAATGCCTTTAATTCAGCATTTACTTGCATTTTTGGCAGGTTATACTTAGTACATGTGTTCACATTACTTTTGTGCTTTAGTCAAAGTGATTTCAATTTGACAAAATTCAGTGTGAATATTGAGTCCTAAGTGAATAAAACCAATTCATTCATCAGATTTTTTTCTATAAGAGCATAATGAGCACCTACTAATTTATTCAAAGTTTCACTGTGCCCTAAAACATTTGCCACATTCATTCATTCATATTAGTGTTACAAGAGCACAGTATTAAGCTAAAGTTCAGTATTCTTCACACACACACACACACACACACACACACACACACACACACACACACCACCACCACCACCACCACCACCACCACCACCACCACCACCACCACCAAGTGGAATCCTTTCGTCCAGTGAATTGCGTTCACTGGCAATCTATGGCATCAGTGACTAGACAGTGTAGTTAGTCACAGACATCTTACTGTGCTATTCTTTTGGGGAAATGCATCCCTTTCCTAATTATTTCAGCCTTTCCCATGTGATTCTTCTTGTTAAGGATTTTTCCACAATCAATTTTGACCAGGCTATATTTGCTTTACGTATAGGTATAGATATTTATATGACACAACTTTATTCAAAGTCAGAGGTAAATTTTTCATGTAAACATGAATCATTTTGTTCTTGACATCTTGATTTACGAGAATGAAGTCTTTGTGTTTTTATACCAGGGTCTAGAATATGGAAGATGAACATAAAATCTTAGTAGAAAGGACCAAGATGTTGCCAGGAAAGATGTGGTTAGGGTCTTTACATAACAAAGTTTTTGTTCTTTGACTTGGTTTCTTTTATAAGTAGTGGAAGTACTGAGGGAGAAATCTAAGTTGGCATTATTTTTTTAAAATATATGTCTCCCTTGTTTGTATACATGGTGAATCAGCTCATGAAATTTCCCATTACTCAAATATCCACCTGTAGTTTTCTTCATCTTGACTGGCAACTGAGATTTCTTTTCATGTTTTAGTAACTATACTACCAATCATAAATTCTTCCAATGTAAGTCTTATTATTTATGACACAGAATAGGGACTGTATTTACTAGGGAAATCAAGAGACTACCCTGGTTAATGACAGCAAAATCATATTGTTCTGTAGGACCACAACTTATATATCATGTATGTTGAGTACATATGGAATATGTATTGCATATAATGTGTATTATCTCTGAAGAGGAAGAATGTGTAAAATAATACTGTATTTGAATAGTATGCATGCAGGAAATAGTTATAAATTCCACAGTGTCTCTTCTTCTGAGGTTTGTAACATTTAAAACACTTTTTCTGGTTTTCCTCAAGTATGCTTTCCATCGTGCACACTTAGAAATCTGCCCCACACTTGGTTGTAATGGAAGAATATTAGTTTGAAAAGAAAGGAATTAATGTCTCCTTAAACTTGGGCAACTTGATAATTACCCTGGTCAGAGTTACAAAATGCGTTTTGGCAAAAAATCGGTAGTTCTTTGAGTTATTGCAATATTTTATTCTTCAGAGGAAGCTTATTATTGGTAATTTATTCTAAAGTTAAATTATGCATCAAGCAAGTTTTAAAGACCCAAAAGGGGAGATTTATATGTATTTTGTGAGGTCAAACCAAAAATGGGAAAAATGTCAAAAAGGTAGGAAAAAACCCGAACTGACTCCATCAGATAATACATAGCTTTGATTTTATACACCATTGTGTTGGTCTGTGTTTTGGCCTAGAAAAAAAAAATGTCAGTAGGTTGGGATGAGATAACAATAAATTTGTATGTCTTCAATATGTTATCTCATCTATATGGCATATACTGACATGATAATATGAATATATGCATATTGCAATTCATACTCTTGACAATAATAGCTAAAAATTGTTTTGTTTAAGAAAAGTTCACCCTTTGAATAATATAATATAGAGTTCTGTGATGATGTCTCATTACCATATCTCCTGTTAGTTAATGGCTTAGGCCTTTTTTTGTAGTAATACATCTTTTTATAAAGATTTTATTATAATCACTTAACATAATTTTAATGAACTATAAAACACTTTATCCATTGGTTGTATGGAGCAATTTTTAATAAGACTTTTGGCAGAGATACTGTTAAGTTAAGCCAGAGAACACTCAGCTCTAAGTCTACAGGGCATAGTTAAACCTGACACCTTGGATGACACCTTAAAAAATGCATCAGTGGAAACTTGTAAGTGCTATAATTTAAGTAGAGGGAGAGAAACAGATTAGCACATTTTAAGTGTCTCACACGGTCAGTCGATATGATAAAAAAGATCTTAACAATTATCAAGTCCTTTTATGAAGACTTTAATTTCTGATAAACTGGTGACTTTTCAAAAGCTGCCCAAATGAAAATTTTATTAGTAATCGACTTTTTTAACTGTAAGTTACCAAAATGGTTTTTCTTGATTTGTTGTTTCTAATGATTATAGGCATGTCCTTGAAAAAGTGATATGCTTACATATTTTTGAAGGAAACAAAATTTTGTTTAAAAATTTTTACCCTGGCATTACTTTTCTACCAAATCTGGGTTATCTGGAAATACTGTAAAGTCATGCTCATAATTAGAACTTCTGAAATTCCAAAATGCAACAATGAACAAAGGTTGAACAAGAATGTGTGGTTCTATTATAAAGAAGTGTACTTGACTCTAGTTAACCAAACTATTAAAATGGGTAGAAAGTTTATTTAAGAGAGGCATTATTATCATGCTAGTGAATATTTGATTATCCCACAAAGTATATGGGGCCATAATTAAATTTTACATTAAGATCATTTTTTCTTACTGTTTTGACACTATTTCCCCACAGGCATTAAATTACATCTTTTACATGTTGTAAGTTCATAACTACAGGGATTTGCTACAACAATAGCATAACATTTACTTGATCACACCTCTTGTTGCATTTTTTAAATGTTGTGGGTCCTTCGGGGGGGGGCAAGTCTAGATAAGCTGATGGAAAATGAGAGGACAAAATGGAATCGGACACATAGGACAGATTCCACAGCTGCAGTGTTCAAGTCTGTGATGTTTATCGTGTGATCCTTGATTAGTCATCAGGTCTGCAGTGTGTGTTTGTTACCAAGGAAGCAAACCAGTTTCCCAAGATCTTGCCTGAGCTGATCATAGAGGGAGAACTAATGTACCTGGGCTAGTTCCTACATTTACATGGCCTTTTAATTTGAAAGATAAGTGATCAATAGGTAGACTCTGCCTATCAATAGAATACAAATAGGAGGAGACTTACTAGTTTTAATGTACTTCAAATGTTCACAATGTCAGCTATTCATAATTTGTGAGGACTTTGTTACCAAAACCCTGGTTGATGTAGTTATGGATAGACATGGTCAATATCTTAAATCATTGTTATTGGGTAAGGTGGAAACACCAAGAACCATGGCTTTGATGAAAAATGATTGCAGTCTGACCAGCAAAATTATATGAATGATTTAGGTGTGTACTTCATCACCTTTTGAGTGTACCGAATGGCACTGATAAAAGGAAACTGTGCTCTATGAAAGTGTGCTAATGTGATCAGGAATACCATCTGGCCTGACTCTTTTTTGAACTTTTAAGAGTTGTACATAGAGTCTGCTAAAAATATATATACACACACTTCAGCAGTTCCCCTTACTAATAAATGTCAGGAAGCTAATGGCTACCATTCTGAGCACCTCTTGTAACTGTAGAGGCTGAAGGTAATTTGTATTAACTTCATAATATCTCAGTAAATTTAGTATTAAAACATTTATGCAAGTTTTTTTCTTGAAGTGTGTGCATTTTTGGTGGACTTTGTATTATGCTTCAAGCCCTATACATATGGCTAGTTTTAAAATATCATTTTTTATAAAAGTTTAGTGACTAACACTTATTCTCCCTGATAACAAGTTGTAAGAAATGTCTGTGGTTTATTCTATGTACAGCTGAAAAATATGATAATATTTGTTTGTTAGGAAAAAAGCTCCCATCTTTTTTAGTTGTATTGCTTGAGGAAAACATTATTATCTGCTAGATTTTTAAATTTAAAAATATGATGAATTTTTAGGTAGATTCTTTGTCTTTGAGGGCAGATTTTCTTAAAATCTGTTATATTCCTGGGGGCAAAATAAATATAAGACTCAGCCATTAGATCGTAGTATTTAAAAAATTAGAAACCTTAATAGAAACAATTTAACAATTTATTAGTCAGAGTAATCTTAACATTAAATTGAGATCTTTATATTTTTATTTTGTTTTCTCTTGATGTCACCTTGTTATTTTAGCACTTTAAAAGTGATTCTTTCCCTCAGTTATCAGTCTCTTGCTTTGATGGAAACTGAAGTGTAACCAAATATACACAGTTATGATTTACACCAAGTCTTCTCTGGAAGCCATGATGATTTTGGCTCCTTTTCTTGCTTTCCACGTTAAAATCCCTCTTTTGTTTAGGATTCATTATCTTAATAACATGTGTATCAGTATCGTTATTCTGCTTCTGTTGTTACTAGCATTAGAAACTGAAAGGAAAGCTTTGGTGTGCGGTGAAGTTCATTCCTCTGCAGAACATTAACAAATAGCACCAGAGCACAGAAGAAAGTTTCTCTCATTTAAAATAAAAATCTAAATGTGCATGAGAATGTGGGTTGTAAAATGAAATATAAATTTTACTTAGTGCCTGACAGAAGTAATTAAACAAGGCACGAAAATAACACCCTCAGAACTTCAGTGGATCTAAAAGAGGCTAATATTTTTATCCTTCAAATTTTCATAAAGAAGACTGAGTCCTAAATCTTGACTGTTATCATTCTCACCCCATCACCCAACTTCTGGAACCTTTTATCTCTTTGCATATGAGACACACAGTCAGGTTCAATCCATTCTGCTTTTATCTGGGGAAAATTGGGAGGTAAAAAGTTGATATAGCCTTGATACTAGTGACCTTAGGCCACCTGGAATCAAATGAATTAATACTATTTTTAAATATTTGCTCTATCATGTGTCTGGAGCTAAAACTTCCATTTCCATTACACTTGCCTTAATATACTTTATATTAAGATAAAACTTCCTCAGGTGTGTAGTTTGTGCTAATGGCTCAAGTTATAGAAATTCTTTGTATTAGAAGACTAAGCACTAACTTTTTCAATATGACATTTAAAAATGTTTTATCATATGTTGCTAAACGATATGATGGTTCTTTCAGTTAAAAATAGAATGCAGTCATTCTGGATTTGTGCTCCTTAAAATGTATCAGTTATTTTTAAGGCTTGTTGTTGTTTACAGTCTGATGTGACAGTTTGTCCTGTGCGTCAGATGAAAATCATAGGTGTAGATGTACATGAATCATGACTTGGTAGTGATGATAAAATACTGTCTGAAATGCAAGTCTTTTCCCAAAAACCTTTGACATAAGTAACCTACCTGACCAAACCCTAAGCAAATAACTTACAAAAATGTAAGTTGGTTTCATGAAGAAGTAGATTTCAAAAGCACAGGTATATTGTATAGAAAATCTCTGAGTTATTTTGAGGTATAAATTATTCAAATTGCTGACTAGTTCACTATTATCTTTTGATATGGTTTTTGGATCACGTTTGGAGTGTATCTATGTGCGTAGCTCCATGTTACCCTAAGTGATTTACAGTCAATCAACAGGTTGCTCATAAGTGAGGTGCTACAGGGCCACTAAGATCCTAGATGCACACAAAATAGTAACATAGTCAAAGTAGCCATAGGACAACCTTACAATATGAAAGTATGAAAGACTGATATGATCCCTTCACCATCATCAGTTTCTCATCACTTTATCATGACTCAAGTCCAACACAGCATGTTATTTATTATACTGTTTAAAAATCATTAATTCTCAAAGTTGAATTGGTTTAAATTTATAAAGGTCTAAAGATTAAGTAATAAAATATGTGATTTGAATGCGCTGCTCTGTGTTTAACCCAGTAGCCATTGTTCTCAAAATACATTTCTTTTAATGTTACATAATTTAAAAGAATAAAATAAAATAAATTTCCTTAAATTAATGAGGTCATGTATATTATATCATGAAATTTAAAAAAAATGTTACTGAAATTGAACCAGATAGATCTGAAGCCCTATAGTTCACATTATTGTTTTTCTAAAGGAATAGATAATATCTGTTTCATTTCAAACTTTTTAAAATAAGCTTAGCTTTACCTCTTTTAATGAAACATCAGACTCCAAAATATATTAATAAACACTTCAGAGTAAAGAGGTAAGTGAATTCTCTACAACGTGCATAAATAATTCTCTCTAAACTTCGTTATCACTGATGTCATAGAGGAATGAATCAAAAACCTTCAGTATTTACAAGGGAAGAAAACTTGAGTTTCTAAATATCTAAAGTAACTTTAAAACGTGTCTTTTTTTGTTTTTAACTTGCTTTGATTTTATTTGTTTTGGTTTTGAATACCAATGAAGAATTATCAAAAACATCTTGATATTCAGCTAAATATGTGTTTGTTTTTAGGAACTCTCAGAGAATGAAGTGGTTGGATCTTATTTCTCTGTGAAGTCTTTCTTTTGGAGGGTAATGTCTAAATCCTTTATATCAATTTTCTTGATTTGGGGTTCTGAATCATAAATTTGAAATTTAAATGTGAAATATGAAATTCACTTTTTAAGATAGATTCCAAGGTAAGTGTCTTCTTTGGCTTCTTTATTAAGCCATCCAGGCAACTGACTATTTTGTTTCTTCATTTGAAAACATTAAGAATTTCACATTCCTAAGAACATCACTTGAAGTCAGTTCCCTGTGGAACCAAACCTTGGTGACTTTCTAGTGCCGTGAAGGCTCTTTCTTCCACTCTTGGAAGTGGGATTATTTTCTGTTGCCTTCTGTTCAAGAAAAACGTACTGTTATAAGAGTGGTCTTACAAAACATATATACTAGATCTGTACTTAATATTCAGCGCTCTTCCTTTGAAACAAAATGATTTCTGCCAGATATAAATGAAGAAAAAAATCAGAATTCCATGGAATTTGTTTCAAAGCATTGCAATTTAATTTACTCTTCAGTAAGTTAAGTCTTATGAGCCCTCTCATCCATTTTTTTCTCCACTGCAATTCTGAGCTACACAGAGCTTAATTCATTACTAATTCATTTAATACTTTTTAAACTATCCCCTCTTCTTTGAAAATTCACACATGGCATATGGATATGTTGCAATAGATATTGTGACGTAACTGCTTACATCTGAAACTCTTCCATTTTCCTTCCATGACTCTCAAACTGCTTATAATGAAAAACTACTTTGCTCTTTTAGGATTTTAAGATGTTCACACTCTAGATAGAGTCACACACTGACCAACCAACAAGTAAAAGCCACATCTACTCACCACCTCCTGCTCCAACACAGTTTCCACAGCCTTTGATTGTTGGACCTTGTTTTGCTCTCTATGGCCTCTTAGCTTCCTTTCAGTCTAATCTCTGCCCTGAAGACTGCCTTCACTGAAGTTATTCTCCATCTTTGCTAAAATGATCACGGCTCCTTTTACATGTTCATGCATTGTAGTGAACACAGGTTAACTGCTTTTGAATTCTTCCAAGACTTTAAATTAAAGATAGAAACAAAAAACATTTAATAGTTCTCTTAACACCAGCAAATATGGGGGACATTTTCTTGAGAGCAGAAGTTGGGAGTGTTCTGTGTTCTTTGTTCTACAGGCAGCAAACAGGCAAACTGGTCCCCATGAGTGAAGACTTGTACCCGGCCCATCTCTACATTACTGCTTTTTGCAAGAGTTTCTATTTCCGAGGCTCTTTCAACACTTTCTACGTTGCTGTTTCAAAATTAGACTTTTACCTCTCAGAGCTTTCTATGTAGTTGTATTCATCCTTTAATATTCTTTAATAATCTTTCTTCAAGCTCTTGAGCTATTTGAGTTTAAAATAAGAAACATACAATAATAAAATATAAAAGATAGCTTTTTTTTTTACCCAAAGCATAGAATAAATATTTTCTCAGACACAACAGATGAGTGACAAATAATTTTACCAGTGAGGGAATTAAGGCTCTGGGAAATGAGATTGTAGCCCTCAAGGACCCAGATGACATGATCAGGGCTAATATTTCTTTCCCGAATGCCAGAAAAATAAATAATTTGAACAATTTACAGCAGTAGGGTTCCTCTTTAAACTGATGAATACAAATGCCCTATATGAATAGACCTGCTTCTCTTTGAGGAATTGCAGCCTTTGCTGTCTCAATTACAAAATGAGAAAATCGGTGGCCAAGCTGACTTAGGATGATTGTCATCTCATACGTTCACATTCAAAGGTCACTCGGATAGTCCACTCCATCACTCTCCACTCAAGTAATATTGCTATCCCAGTGAGCTTTTAGCAAAAATGTATATGAAAGAGCTTTCTCATGGACATTTCCAGATATGCCAAAATCTGAATAGTGCAGATAAAATCTTCCATGAAGAGTTTACTTGAATTTTGGGAGTTAAACAGGCTGCTATTTAAAAGAAATTGTTAACAGCTTAATTTATAAAGATCAATACATGTGTTTAAGAGGTAGCACCTAAGTTATATGAAGTAAAACTAAACCCTAGTGAGAACATGCTAAACACTTGCTACATCTTAATTATCTTTAGAGACAAATAGTAGAAAGAAAATACTAAAGCGATACAGGGATATTCTACTTTTCAAAAAGCATAACTTGTAATTTGTTAAAACATCATAATTTAGAACACAAAACACTGAAGAGACAATATGGCAATTACCATGTTTCTGATGACAGTAAAAAATTTTGAAAAAATTAGATTACTAATTAATTCAGAATTTCAGTCTAGACTTTTGACTTTCCATTAAAAGATGTTTACTTAAAGCATTTCTTTCAAGTATTTAGCATTTCTTTCAAGTATTTAGATTTTTTCCGAGTTATATCCATTGAGCAGACATCTAAGCTCTGAACGAAGCGTCTTAAAGAACATTGTAGTAAATTAAAGAGTAATTTTAATATTTTAAATGGAAAAGGGTGTTGCATGCCCTATTACTACATATAAATACAGAAAAAAAATTTTAACAGGCAAAGAGAATATGATGAAAATGCAGAACAATGAGGAGCTACATTAGAGCACATCTAACAGTAGAGTCAAGGCGATGTGTGTTTGGAGAAAGATTGCAAACTAAGGAGAAAAGTTGCTAGTTCAGTGCCACAGTACTCACATCCTGAACTACTCAAATATATATGACCAACCCCCTGGAGATATTCAGATAGCTGCATTTTTAGGTATGAACACAATTCTCAAGATATTTGTAAACTGTAATTATAAATTTTCTAAGAAAGAATGAATGAAGGTCTTTGTAAATAAGACTAAGAACTACTGTTCCTTCCTTGCATCATTGGTAGAAATTTGTACATTATTTTAGCAATCTAATACAGTTACAATATATTACTGATTTCCTCTTAGGATATACATACAGTACACTGAAAAACACATTAGAAGCTTAAGAACTTTTGTTTGGCCACAATTAAAGTTAGAGAGTAGAGCTCAAATGCCTGAAGTAAACATAGCTTCCTGGCACCACAAATTGTATTAAGGAACAATCACAATACAAAAGAAAATTTCGGATTAAAAACCAAGAGAATTTCTGTAAGGATTACAGTGCCAGTGAATGATCTTCTGAGAAAAAGAGGATTGAAGCGCTATTTTTAGAGGAAACACTTCACAGAAGGCTGCACAAGGCAGTGGCAGGCAATTCTGCTGTCAGCGGAGAGAGGACTGCAGAACAAATCTACTGGTTGGACTTCATCATCCAGATGCAATTCACTGGAATAAACTCTCCAGGAAAAGGCAAAGATATAAGAGGCCTGGGCCTGGGATTGAGTTTGTAATTGTTCCGCACTCTAGTTTTTGCAGTACAAAACAGTCATTCCGGGCTGTCATTATCTCTTCTTTGTAGAGGCTCACGGATCATTTGATTAAATAAAACCATGTGCCAGCTCTGGACTGAGCATAGAGAAAAGAGTGCCACACATGACTCACTGTGAACACACAAGCAATGGCTTTCACTCTGGTTTCACAGTGCCTGGGTCTCATTTGGAAGGATTAGGTTTTACACAGGTAATAAAATTCAGGATAACAAAAGCCAGTGATTAGTTGTACAGATCAGGAAGAGGATTGGTGCAGTAACTGTGTTCCCCTAATCACATATTAAGCCTACATAGTTTTTTTATTGATTTATTTTAAAACCAGGATCTTAGACTAATAGGATATGTCCTATTAGTGGTCCAGTTTTCCAAAGAATTGAACTGGTAAAATTTGTTAACTACAGTGGGGACATAAAAGTCTTCTCAATCTGTGTGCAAGATTCTATACTTTAGCCTTTTTGATAACTTACTGTAGTGTATAGTTAATTCAAGTGTGCTTTACTGAACGACATATACCAGGATTATTAATTACCTCTAACTCCTGATTAAGCTTTCTCAACAATCCATGACCAGGATGTTTCATCTAAGTGAAAGGCAAAGCAATTTGAAAAAACTGCACCAATTAATTCCTTTGTTTTATCATAAACTTCATAGACTCTGTCCAGAACATGACATACAAGTGCAGAAAATCATGGATTAACTATCAAGAATTATGGATTTAAACCTCAGCCTTGCCCATCTCCAGGCATTTAGCTTTGAGTGGGATATTTATTTTTCTCGATGCCTCCATTTCTTTACCTTAAAAAAAGAGAAATGTTCCATGAAAAATACTGGAATGTGAAAACTACAGGATACAATAGCTGCTCAATAATACTTCTTTCTGTGTGAGTCAGCCTTTCTTTTAGACTGCCCTAACCCAGTCCTTTTCACTGATGTTATTAAAATTAAAACCTTTCATGTCTTCATAATACTATTGCTCAGAAACGTTCTCTAGCAATCTGTAAACCTTTAGTACAAACCTTTCACCTTCACCATGATATTGCTCTGCAAAGTTTCTGTCCAGCTATGTCTTTCTCAATCTATCTTGCTTCTCTTTGTTTTAATAGGGAAGAAATCTTTGTGTTGCTTTTTTATATCTAAGACAGTAAAAAAGAAATATTACCTAGGACAAAACTTTTACATTACTTTGGAGATATGCCTTTAATCAAGTCAGATGATTTACGTGTGGGATGCAAGGTTAGCACAGTCATAGTTATTGCTGGTCTCTGAAACACTTATTCTTCTGGGCCTTATCACTCATTTGACATTGGAAAACATTTTCAAAACATTTTGCAGTATCAGATTCAGGAATATTGTTCATTCTGTGATTTGTGTTTTCTCTTGCTGTTTGTACGCTCTGATACATTTACTAACAAAACCTGAAACCACTTACCCAAGCTCCACCACCCTATAAACTCTGGGCTCTGTCATCTTGAAGTGTGTGATGTTTATCTTCATTATACTACAAGCCATTTTCTTTAAATCAGTGGAGACACAAATGCATGTTTTTTCAAAAACTATTGAAAAGTAATTCTGAATGCTGATCAAAACAAGGGGTGGAAAGTAGAACAAAGCTTTCTCGTGTAGCTCTGATCCTTCATTTCCATCCAGACATGCAACAGGCCTGCCCTTCCTGCCCTGGGCTTCTGCAGAGCAGAGCTTCAGAGTCATTGCCAGGACACGCAAGTAAGTTCACCTGTTCAGTTTATCTGTCTTTGTGGAGCTTGCATGGGCTGTAAATTCTGAGGGATGACTTAAAGCACCCTCTATACTAACCTCTTTAATAATATGAAGCAAACTCATAATATTGACTTCTTTCTCAAGAAATAATACAAATACACTAATATTCTATCTCAAAGCACCAACCAACTACTTCTAAAGTCTTACTAGAGATTTTATTGATTAACTGATTCAGGCTTTGAAATTTATGTTGCTCCCTGGTAATTTGCCATTCTGTATTAATTCTAAACTTGGAGAATGTTCCTTGGGAGTACAAATCTCAAACTTTGGTGCACATAAGAATCATGTGCCAGTCACACAAATGTTGAAATAGAAGCATGACACTACTCTGCAAGATCTAGGAAGGATCAGTTCATAAATTTCAACAAATTGCTAAAATTCAAGAACTCTTTCTTATGTGCATTTGTACCTTTGCTTTGAAGCTGTTAGATTTTCTGTTTTATTCTTCCCTCTTTTTTCTTCATCCTTCAATAACATTTTCTAATTCAACAAGGACTTGGCTAGGAGCATTATTTTAGATAAAAAAGTACCAGTTGTAATAAGCTATCTTTATTCAGTAATACCCTAGCCTTGTTCACTGTTCTTTGCCCTTTAGGTGCTCAACAAGTGGTTTTCATTTGATTAACTATTAATACTTCAATAAATAGGTATTAGTAATATGCATTCTATGAGAAAAATATTAATAAAAGAAAGTAATGTTTTTCATAATTATTCCAATTGGCTCCTACTTCTCTTTTTAAATTCTCTAAATATCCAGAATAACTTGCTTTCATGATCATTAAATTTAAAAGCAGCATAAATAACTTACATGCCAGAGAGATGAAAATGTTTACAATTATATTAACAGCAGATGACAGGACACAGAGAGGGCCAGTGTCCATGAAAGCCAGGGCTATGCATCAGAATCTCCTGGAAGGCTGATTAAACCAGTGGGCAGGCTCTGCTCTCAGAGATTCTGATGCCATTCTGCTGACAAGGAGCCAGAGAACCCGAGTTTCTGGCAAGTTCCCAGATGGCACTGACACACGTGCTCTGTGGACCACACATTGGCAAGACCAGCCTGCAGAGGAAGGGAGTGTTTTACATAGAGCATGGCAACAAAGAAGGTTCCTTGGAGAGCATCAAAGTTAGTGGTTTGCAAGTTTTGGGGTTTTTTTTGAAGCTGTGCAGTTCTACTCATTGCCATCTCTTCAGTGAGCTCCCAGAACCCTGGTTTTCAAAAATAGGTAAAATGATATACGGCAGCTCTCTTTGACAAGCTAGGTCTTCAGTGTTCATAGAAAGTATGCGTTCCCATGCTGCCTCCCTCGCTCTGCCTCCATATTCACTTACAGAAAAGTGTTCTGAGTACATCTGGGACCAGAGAAGATTAAAAAACAGTAAGAAACCCTGAAACCCAATGGAAAAACAATAAGAAATTTATTGAAAAGCTATCAGAAAATCAAGTCCCACAGAGGGAGAGACATGCCCAAGTCACAGGGGACTCCTAGACAGATGTGAGTACAGTCACCCTTCAGCACGTGGCAGCTGGTGTGATTGGCTCCAACCCCTCCTGCCCCATGGATACCGAAATCTGCAGGTGCTCAAGTCCCTCACATTAAACGATGTGATATTTGCATGTTACTTACTCACATACCCTCTGTTTTCATCTCTGAATTACTCATAATACTAATGCAATGGAAATGCTATGTGAGTAGTTGTGATCCTGTATTGCTGAGCCAATAATAACAAGGGTGGGGAAGTCTGTTTATGTTCAGTATAGATGCAATTAACTTTTCCCAAAGCATTTGCAATTCGTGGTTGGTTGAATTCTCTTAGGGATATGGAGAATTGACTATTTTAAATGTCTACCTTTTTCTACTAGGAGCAGCCTAACTTTATATCTTCCACCTTTATCTTTGAATTTTATCCAGCTTTCTGTTTTTCATGCTTTAACTAAATATCTGTTGAATGGCTATGCATTTACTCACAATTCTGTAATTATTTAATAGTCAACAGCTGAGTTACAAAATTTCTTTTATAAATGTACTGTTTTGAACAAAAATTATAGAAGTAGAAAAACTCATGTTAAGACTATTTGATTGGTATATTCTTAGAATCGCTCTTCCTTCTTTGTAGCCATTTTGGAAGTTACCTTAATGTCTACCTTTATCATTTTATGAAGAAATACTCCCCTTCCTCTTCCTCTTTTGTTTTGCATGTTGTTTGTGAAATATCCTTCAAGATTATAGAAAGAGATTCCTTAACAATTAATGGCAGAAAGCAAAGCTGCCATTAAATTCCTTTTATTTTTAGGGAAGCATGAAAGATCCCATGGAAAGCATTTTTTTTCCCACTCTTCCTTGTGTATTCTCACGTTGAGGGCAAAGGGCAAGTAGCAGTTTCAGACACATTACTATTAAAGAAACCGACAGCATTTTTGAAGATGCTGTACAACCTACATTACACTTAACTATCACTTGTGTGTCATGTATGACTTCTTCTAGAAAGTATCTGGAAGATGACAGTTATACACATTCTTCAGTAAGCTGCTTACATTGAAATCTCTGTTTATATGAACAGTCTTTGCTAAGATAATCATTTCTTCTTGCCACAGTACCGTACATTTTTCCCGTTCCTACATTAGTACTCAGATTCTTAAATAAACGTTTCAGTTCCAAAGTTCAGAATCTGATTCTCCAGACTCTTCTTTGAAAGAGCGAGCAGCAAAAGTGGGTCAAATCAGTAAATTAATCAATCACTAACATCTGTGGCTGTATTATATAATTCTAAGTAGCATGAGCTCTTAGAACAGAAACAGAAAGATACCATTAACCATCAGTTGTTACAACAATTCTAAATATTTTAATCTTAGAACCCCTTTGTTCAAACAAGACTCTCTGTAGAAACCCAGGCATGTATATATGTCAAGGAGGAGCAGAGAGGAGTTCCGGGGAGCTGGTGGGTGCTTCATGAACCCACTGTGGCCCTTCGGATCACTTCCTGTGAGGCTCACTGAGCGAGGAGTGTGTCGATACCAAGAAAACAGAGCCAGCAACAATGTTAAAAATTTTCTCTGCAGAGTGGTAGGGGAATGTGCAATGTGATTTAGAAAGATTTACTGAAATGGTCAAGTACTGAACTATTTTCTTTCGAAAAACATAGTTTGTGTTTTCCTCACAAAGCACGTGGCTTTTGATGATGATGTATAAGAATGACAGTGGCATTGCTCTGACATACAAAAATGTAGGAAGTCAAAATGGAAATGAAAACTCTATAGTAGACTATAACATTATCACATTAGTGTAGGAGGGGCTAGACAGCAATTACAGCTAATCAATAATTGAGAATATTTTAAGATTGAGAAAAATGTTGAATTACTTCATGAAATGCCTGAATGGAAAAAACATACTTGATAATTAAAAAGGAATAATAACTGTATAGCATTATATAGCTCTTGGACTGGCTTTAAGATGTCTTAATGTTTAACTGTTTTCTCTGTTATGTGTTAGATAGTTAAGAGAAATTATATGACCATTTTTAGTAGACTTGCTAATTTTACAAACTTTTGATTTTGTTCACTTAAATACTTAAATACTGTGATTTATAATTGACCTGGATAATAATCAATAAAGAAAATGTTAAAATACTGGCATCAGAAATAAATACAGAAGCATACTTGCTTATATAAATCATAAATATAATTTTAAAAATAATTTTAAATATTTGTGATGCAAGTTTCAGATAAAAGTGAAGTATCTTGGATGACTAGATGGATTTCATTTTGTGTTCTATGGTACTTTAGTAGTTTCTTATTGAGCTGAAACTCAATTATTTCCTAATGTGTCAAATAGTTTTTAAATACCTAAATAGAACTTGCAACTAATCTTGCAACTAACCACCCATAAAATTCAGTTGTAACATGAAAGCAATCTTTAAAAAATCATAAAGAGTTAAACATTAAATATATATGTTGTAGATGCAGTCTTTGGTATTTACAATACTTGTTTTATCCATACGTACTTTGACAGGAATTTTAACACAAATGCAAATAACCTCTGATATTCTTGAAGCATCTACATCTTGTAAAAGTTGAAAATCTAGACTTTTTATTTAAGTAGTCACCTCCTTTATATACCAAATCTGTCCTGAATGACTTTGAAATTAATAAATAGTTAATACTCTATAAGTTGTTCTTATTAATAACTACTTATTTTTTGAAAAAATATAGCAGGAGAAAGAATAAGGCCAAATGATACGTAGTGTTTAAATTTAAAACACAATACTATAATCTGCTGGGCATGGTTGGACACACCTGTAATCCCAGCATTTAGGAGTCTGAGATAGGAGGATTGTTACAAATTCAGAGTTAATCTGGGCTACTTAATAAGCTCAGATTCCATCTGGAGTACATATCAAGACTCTCTCTCTCTCTCTTTCTCTCTCTCTCTGTCTCTCTCTCTCTCTCTCTCTCTCTCTCTCTCTCTCTCTCTTTCTCTCTCTCAAAAAAGCAAACAACAGTAACAACAAAAAAACACAAACATAAAACACACTAATCTAACTTGCTTTTTCTCTGCCAAAAGTTTCAGAGCCAAAGTGTGCGTCTGTCAGACCAACACAGAAAATCACATCTGTGGAGAGGAATAGTCAGCATCACCTTGATAGAAGGGCGGGACCTCAAAGCAATGGATTCCAATGGGTTGAGTGACCCCTACGTGAAGTTCCGGCTCGGGCATCAGAAATACAAGAGCAAGGTAGCTCTCTGCTTTCTCACTGTATTCCTGTCCATCCTGGGAAGGTACTGGTCAGTCAGTAGCCTTGCTTTTGGAGATGAGAACACTGGATGTTTTTAACTGCTTAGCAGAACTTTTAAGCATCGTATCCAAAAAACATGACCAACAATTGTATTGTATTCCTTTATGTGCCAGGCATTCTTGGGTAAACTATATAACTTCACTATGTTTCAACTTCTTCAACTATGATGTAGGAATGGTGGTAGGAACTATAAGCATCTTTGAGAGAATTTTAAAGAAAAAGAAGAAAGCGCCATGACCCAGCAAGAACAAAGAGACTCTGTTAATATTACAAGCAGTGCTAGTGTCTGTACTATTATTTTACACACCAGGAGAATCTTTGCAAAGTGCCCAGGTCATTTTATTCAACCTAATTGGAAAAATTAAGAGTGCAAGTTTTTAATGTATGTAGGAAACAAATGGGTCTAATTTCTGCCACCACCATGAGTGATATGCCATAGCACAAGTGACTGGCTCTCTATGCCCCGATTTCTCTTTCTGTAAGAGAGGAAATTAAAATAGCCCCTACTTATGAGAGTTACTGAAAGCATTAAATGAATATACGTTCTGCATGCAGTGAGTTTGCTGATATTAATAACACAGTAATTGGTAATAGCCAAGGAAAAGAGTGAATAGCAGCAGTTGTAGTAAATGTATAATAATTACATTACTAATGATAATGCATTAAATAATAATATTAGTAGTATAGTAGAAGTAATAATAATCAATAAAGGTCATAGTAGCGATAAATACATGTTCTATCCAACTATGCCTGTCTCCTAATTAGCTCTTACAGCTGCTTTTCATAGACAGCATGGGACCAGTGATTACATCCACCCTGAATTAAAGATCATCTTCTATTTTGAGAAGAATTCCTTTGCCTGAAGTCATGATTTTTGCAGATGCTTCGTTTCGTTTTGTTTTGGTTTTTGTTTCTACAGCACAGAGGGTTGAATCCAGGGTCTTCTCACTGAGCTACATCCCAAACCTTTTTAAAAACACAGCCTTGCTAAATCCCTAAGTTGCCTAGGCCACGCTTGAGCTGGTGGTCCTCCTGCCTCAGCAGCTTGTCTACTTCCCCTGCTGGCCCAGAAATTTTCATGGGTACTTAGCGGGTGAGATTTAGCATGCAGTAGGTGGGGAGCACTGCTAGCCATCTGCTTGTTTATCTCCTGAAGAACAGATGGAGAGGGAAGATACCATTTCTGACCTGAATGGAGGGAGTCATAAGAGAAGAAAATCCTAAAAGAAAAAGAATTGGGAAGTTAGTCTTTTGGGGCCATATAAAGAAGCCATGCCACACTGCAAAATACCATAACAGTTTATCTGAACCCAATTGTGAAACATTAAATTAGTACAGCATTTATCCTGTGCCATCTACTTTTTTGCTAACAAGGAGTTTAAGAACAAGTTTTAAAGTAGTTATCTTTTATCCATGATCACTTCATTCTTGTCTTCTTTCAGTTAACTCTGCTGCTGTTTTAGTAGGCTTCAGACATCATTTCTGTAGTTCTGGTCTTTAGGTATGAAATATGAAACCCAGCTATAGAAGCCTGTCTCTCTTTGCTCTTTCTGTCCATGATCTATTGCTGATTAATTTCAGATTGTGAACTTTAAAAATTGTGATTCATTTGTACTACCTTTGCACGTCACATACTTCATTGTTTCCAAACTCTTTACATCTAAAGAGCTGTCTGTCATCCATTAAAAAGAGAAAAGGCCACCGCATACCCAGCAGTTAAAAAAAAAAAAAAAAAAAGAACAGAGAAACATGAGTGTTGTTTAACCGAATGGTGAGTGGAATTTTAAAACATGTCAGTCTATGACTCTACAAGGTATGTCTTCTGAATACTGGAGGTCATAAAATTATACTTCAGATATCTTCCTTGTAATGTTCCACAGGAAGATCATACACTCATTTAAAGAAGAACACATCAACGCTACAATTCTAGAGTTAAATTTTGCCTGACCACAACTTGAAAATATCCTCATTAGTGAAATAAACAAGACTCACATGAGTAAATATCACATTGTCTCTCTAGTGTACAAAACAATAAAAACATACAGAGTAATGGGATCCAGAAACTATAATAGGTACTGTGAAAGCCAAAGGGAAGGAAAGTGCTCGACAGGGTGTAACTGTATGTACAATGTATGAGATAGATGCCCATATTACTGAATTTCTGTTAGAACATTGAACAGAATGATTTGCACTGTCAATGTTTGAGTGTCTAGCCACTATTTATGCTTTGATTTTGTGACTTTGGCAACTATTTATTAAGACAACGATGAGTAATGTATCAATTAGTTATTCTATGATGATAATTCTGTTTTGAATTCAGTATTATTCTACCCCTCTTTTCTTTAATTTTCTTTAATTTTCTTGTCTTTATTTTTAAAAAAGAGAACAATATGCAATACAACAACCATTGTTAAATTTCTTTCATTCTTTTTGAAGATCTATACTGTTAATGTTTTGAGTCTGCTGTTGTTGTTTATGCCTTCTGCTTTTGGTTTTTCTTTCCTGACTTTTCTCTTCTTTAAATAAAAATTTTTTTTGGCCTGACCACTCCAAGGCTGCTTGGTTTTTTTTCCTGCTTCCACAGAATTGCATGTCTCTCATGTAGTCAGTTAAAGATTCCAATGCATGTGTAACTAAGGAAAAAACAAAAAACAAAAAAATCTGGAAATCTATGAGTTTTCTTTTTATCTGTCAGTGATTATATAGAATAAATACTAATACCTGATGGAGTTTTTTATTTTTAGGCTGTATACTTTCTATATATACTTCCTTTTTCTCATCTGCTATGTAAGATAATCAAGGAATGACTTTTAGTTTGGGGGTAAAACCCATTATGCTGTATTCAGCAGTTAAGTTATTAGAAATCTAATGATTCATTTTCATGTATCTGGAAACTTTAATTCAAATAGCATACTACATGATTTTTTTGATGCTAACTAAAGTTGAACTTAGTATCTCATGTTAATTTTTTAAAAGGCTGCAATTGATAAGACAATAGTGACTCTTTTGTTTTCCAGATTATGCCCAAAACTTTGAATCCTCAATGGAGGGAACAATTCGATTTTCATCTCTATGAAGAAAGAGGAGGAATCATTGATATTACTGCATGGGACAAAGATGCGGGGAAAAGGGATGATTTTATTGGCAGGTTTGTGTGTTTTGATATTTTTGGTTCACCCTAGCGAGAATGGATTTTTGTTGAAAGAGTATTTGCTTTAAGTCTGATTTCTGGGAGTGGGCTATACTTTGGAAGGACAGGGGTCTTTCTATTGCAAAGCAACGCGTGGATGAACACAAAAGTAGATTCAAAGACTGGCCAGTAGGTGGCACTTTTGACTAGTTGATGGACCTAGCCTATTCCAATTCTCGCTATCCAGAGATTTTCTCCAGATGTCGGAAATATTGTGCACAAAAGTTATGGGAGCTGAACAAGAGGAATTTCATCTGATATGGGATACTTAGAAGAACAAAAAGCATATTCAGAGTCTGTAAAGCGAGCTGAGATAATATTTATTTTCATAAAGCACATTGTGACCATGAAATGCATTATTTCCTATAACTCCCTACAAGGTAGAGAATCTTTATAATCTCTTAGGAGTACATAAATCTGTAAAGAGTTACTAAGTTTTAGTGAAGGGAGCATGGGAGTGAAGCAAACTCATGTTAATCTGATAATGAATCGAAAAATACTATCCTGAAGCTGGCACATTTCTCTACAAAGTCAAGGTTATTTTCAATGACTCCTTAAATAACATAAATTGTGTTCTTATTGGTCTTCTATAAAGCCTGGTTTTATATTTTTTTGTAGCAAACCAAAGGAAACCTGGTAATTTCAGAATAAAGTATGATGTACAAAGAACTCATTAGCTTAAAAAAATTCCTTCTTTACTGTATTCTATGTGAATTCCAAGTCTTCATACTGACAGACCAAAGAAAGTTCATACACACAAAATTTTATTCTAGGAAAATGAAGACAGAGTGCAATGCAACGTAATTTCTTTTCATTTTTACTGCTTCTGATATGTATGTTTTAAGCAATGGCTTTTACAGTATGCTTATAAAATGAGCAGTGAAAGATTAGTACCGGTTTATCTCTGAATATTTTACTTACATTTTAAGCTCTGCTGTAAAAACTAATACTGTTACACTTCAATCATTTTTATTTTATTTATTTATTTTTTGTACTGGGATGGAACTCGTGACCTCACACTTGCCAGGCAGGCACTTATACCACTGAGCTAAATCCCTGACTTTAGCCCTTTCTAAAGCACAGGTCTTTATTGTATGTTTCCCCCTTAATAAGGCACTATTTTCAGAATTTTCTAAAAGCTATATCTTTGGAGCATACAATAAGCTTAAGTAGTGGTCTACATCTATTAACACACCAAGTACATTAGAATTAAATAATTTGGTTCTCTATCCCCAGTAGAATCTGAGCTCTATAGAGTAAATACAATCTAGCTATTTTTTTGAATAATTAATCAAATTGCATGTAGTGATATTAATCATATTTGGTTACAGAATGACTGTCACATGTATTTTAATGCCTTAATTGCATTACAAAATTTCTTATATTGGCAAAATACTGAAGAGGACTATACTCTAAAACATACCTGCTTCCTGTATTTCTGGCCATGTATTACATATTCTTGTCTCTTTTTGTGCATTGTTTTCATAATGCAAAAATCATTTTATGGACTTCTTCCTTGGGATGAATTTCCAAATTTGGAAATTGTGAAATTTTCTTAGCCCACTTGGTATCAGTCTTTCCTTATTTGACAATACTATGAATTCAAGCGCAGAAATGGTTATCAGAGATGGATTTGTCTCATTTCACTTGCTTCTAAGGGTTTGTCCATATTTAGGCAAATTTTTGAGAGAATGATGACAGATAGCTGGATAGGAGACCCCAGAGATTACTCTCCAGTAGGTACCTGAGAAAGCTAAGAAAGTGTTTATGAATTTCAGGAAAAGAAAAGCAATCCATTATTTGTCATATGCCAATCAAAATTGTCTCTGAAAGCAATTGGAGCCCAAAAGTTTTAGAGGACATAAGTGCAGCGCACAGATATGGACACAGTGATTCCTAGGACAGGTCCAAAGTATTGGTATAAACCAATCTCCACAATGGAGGGAAGTAGTGTTGAATCTGAGGCAGCCCAGTAATGGACAGTGGAGACTTGTAAACCCTGCTAATTTAACAAAGATGCTCACTGCAGAAAAAAGAAATTGACTACGGTGAATCATCATTTCAAATCCACTTGATGCCAGATAACAACAGAAACTTCAGTTATCTAACTTTATGCTTATTAAACCCTACCTTAAACAATTCTGCCACTGAAAAACAACATATTGTTTTATTCCAGGGACAAGTGAGTTATGTTTATTTGAAGATTATGTGGTACAGTGAAGATAATGCAGGTTACATTAGTTTGCCTTGATTCCTAAAGTAGTTCAAAAGAAAACTGACTTGACTTCCAATTAAATTTGAGTTCTTAGGTTAACATGACAGGAATAAAACTGTCACTGCGTTCTCTCTTCTTCAGTAAGCTATTGCAGAATTCTTAAATCTCTGTTAACTTAAAAATTAACACTTGGGGAGTCGGCTAGTGGCTTTTGAGTAAATTCAAAGTTGATCATGGAGTCTAATACTTTCAATGGCTGATCACTTTTTAAAGGATACTATCTTAGTCCCAAAATTGAGAATATATGGATTAGATTATCTGCAAAGCCCTGCTTATTGTGTTATAGGTCAGTTATTGTTCGCCTTGTTTTCTCCTTTGGGCCACATATAATTACTTTTTTAATGATGTGTTTTGTAAATGCAGACTTCGTAATGGAGTTTGTTTGGATATAATTAAAACAAGATTGGCTATGAATTAATGACCACTTTCAAATCTGGACTGTTAAAACAAAAAGTAGTTCAATTGTGACGATTACCTGCTTCCATTCTCACTGGAACCCACACTTTCGGGTGTCTGCCTCCAAGTCCACCAAAGCTTGTCCTGCCAAGGTCACCTTGAACATTAAGTCATTGATCCAATGATCAGTTTTCAACTTTCATCTTCTCTGACCCAGATGCAGGGCTGGACTTGACAGAGAGCTTCCTTACCTCAAAGCATGTTTTTCTCTTGGCTTTCAGGACAGCAGATTTTCTTCCTTCCCTCTCATCTCACTAAATGCTCTTTCTTGATTTACTTTGCAATTTTTCCTGTGTCTCTCTCATAGAGAAGTTCTGGAGACACTCAGAGCTCATGGCTTGGGTGTCTTTCCATTTATATTTGCTCCAGTGGCCAGTTTACCCATTCTGGTGATTTCCTCACAACCCGTAGCTTGACAGTGACCAACCGTGATTCTCTCGAGTCCAGATTCCTACCTCCAGCTCCACACTGGATCTTGCTAATTGAATGTCTAGCAGTTGTTCCTGAGTCAGCATGTTCACAGGCAGGCCTCTGACCCCAGCCCCTCAACTCTATTCTTCCTTCAGGCTTTTTCTTTGGTTATTACTGACACCAAAAAACATTAGAGCATTTCTAAAAAATCCCTTTCTTTCTTTCATTCTCATCAAATCCATCAGCAATGTGTTAACGTACCCTTCTAAACATATTTATAATTCATCAACGTGTTGATCAGTTTTTTGACCCCATAACAAACACCTCAACAAATCAGCTTTCAAAGAGCAGAGTTTTCAACTCACGGTGTGGAGCTCCCATGATCGAGGGGCCCTGTGGTTTTGGGCCTGAGGAGAAGTAGCCCATCACAATGGCCGATGGACACAAGCTGCTTCCCACACGGTGGCCAGGAAGTGAAAAGGCGTGAGGAGGGTGCGAGGGCGCCGCTGTGTCCTTCAGGCACTCACCAATGACTGAAGACCTCCAACAGCACCAGCTGAGGACCATGCCCCCACGTGTGAGCCTTCTGGGGACCCTCAAGGTCCTGAGTAGCAGCTTCCTCTCACCACCTGTGTCAAGTGACACTGGTTGATTCCATGTGACACCAGCAAGGCCTGCTGCTTTTCACTTCTTCCTTCATCCTTCTCATCCAGACACTCTGCTTCCAGGACAGCAGCCAGAGTAACATAAAGTAATTAACTCGCTATTCAAAACCCGTCACCTCTTTCCTGTTGTAATCTAGATGAGACCACGGTCACCACAGAGCCTGGAGGGCAGGATCTGCCCGCTATCCCTCCCCGCAGAGCAGCCGCTCTTCTGCTGCTCCCAGGCCGTGCCTTTCCAGCCGCTCTGGACCTTGCGCTACTCCTTGAGCAGACCAGGCCCTGTCTCCTCCGGGCCTTTCCCTCTCCCGGAAGCACTGTCACCCCAAGGGCCAGCTGCCTGCCAGGCCTGTTCAGCTTTTTCAGGAGTACACAAGTGTCACGGCAGGGCAGCATCCAGCCAAACCTGTCTAAAAATGAAATCCCTTTCCTTAGCCCTCTCTCCCTTTGCCCTGCTGTGTTTTTCTCCACAGAAGTAACCCCTTGCTGTGCCCCTCACTCATTTTACCATTGACTGTCCCTCGGTAGAACGTAAGCTCCTCCAGGGGAGTCAAAGGTTTGGTCCAGGCGGTGTCCTCAGTACCTAGGCAAGGACCTAGCACATAACAGATGTTCAATAAATATTTGCTGGCTTTGAATTTAAATACTTTTGCTTTAATACTGGAGGTTATAACTATTTTCTAAAGACTGGTCTGGAATTAAGAAATGGCAATTTCAATGGCATGAATTAGTGGAAGATACACATTTTGAGTGTAATTATGGAAAGATCTGTGAATTCAAGAGGAGAATCAGTAAGTTAAAATGCAAAAGCATGTGAAGAATATTTATATTTTAAAATACTGAATTGCTGTACCAAAGAGAGTAATCTATATATTTACCATGATGATTTTATCATAATATTAGGTTTTGGGGGGTATAGGGGATTAAACTATGAGCTCACACTTGCTAAACAGGCGCTTATGACACTGAGCTAAATTCCCGGCCTATCATAATATTTTTAACTGAGATACAAAAATATTACATGTCTGCAAGGTACAGTGTGATGTTTCAATGTATGTATTGTGTAATGTTTGAATCAAGATAAAAATATCTCCTCGAACATTTATCATCCCAGACAGGGAACGCATTCAAAACCCTACTAGGATTTTTAAAAC